GGTGCAGAGGGGGGCAAGGGGCATGTTGTGGGGTGTGTTAGTGAAGCTTGTAGCCTTTGAATTGGCTCTTTGATTGGGTCGCGGAGGGTTTTATGGAAGGTTTTGAGTGTTTGCTTCTATGGGGCGGGGTGGGGGGGGCGGGGGTGAGGGGAGAGGGGAGTAGAGGGGATGGTGCAGGCTTTTTGGTAGCTTTGTTTTGCGTACTTTTGGGGGTTCTTCAGGGCGGGGTGGGCATTCGGGTACTTTTTGAGGGGTGCTTTGGTGGGCTATTTTCAGGCAGTTTCGGGATGCTTTTTGGTGGGCTTTTTAGGAAATCTTTTGACTCGACTTTGTCATCGGTTTTCCATATTTCCTTCTGCGCAGTTGTGATGCCAGTTATAGCTGTTGGGTGGGCTTTGGGGTACCCTCTGGGCAGGTTTTTTTTTTCCTTTCAAAGTGTTTTTTCTTTTTCTTTTTCATCTCTCAAAAGGGAGGGGTCTTAAAGGGGGTTCCTATGTTATCCTTTTTGTATCTCACAGGCACTTAACTCTTTACCTCTCTCTTCATCAGTGGTAGACACAGGTGTCTTCGCAATCCACCTCCCAAGTTTTAAGATGCTGAAGGGTTGGGAGGGGCGGAGTTGGCCGCGGCTTAAACCCTAAACCAGTACACCACCCAGGCCTGGAGGCACCTTACTCTGCGTGGCAAGCTTTGCCGAATCGCCAGTGGTGCACTTTTTTTTCTCTTTTTCTTTTTGGGCTGGTGCCACCAGCCATCGTGGTCCGGTAGGCCGAGGCCATTGCTAGAGTGGGGTGGGGAGTCTGGGGACAAGTTGCTTTCTCTGCAAGGCTGGGCCCGCCGTGTACTCGTGGTAATGGTCGGTCTTGTGAAGTTCAAACTCTTTTTTTTTTTCTTTTTTTTTTTGGGGTGAAGTTGAAACTCTTACAGTGGGTAGAACGCAAAGTAAGATAAGCGATTGATTACATAATCGAGCAAAGAAGGATGTAAAGTTGTAAACGTGCGTCGCCTAATACCAACCAACCTGGGTGGATGTTTTGGTCTAGAGAACTTAGGACCAATTCAGGTAGTTTTTCAACATGAACGTATCATGTATTGTAGGCCAGGTTCATGCAGCTGGACACAGCTGGACACAATTGTATAGCCGGGGCCAGACGGCTTGAATGGCTAGGGTCTATTCTGAGTCGCGCCCAAGGGGATCTAGTACACTTTCTATTCGACCCGATTCGGACATATAGACAAACAGGTGCACAAGCTCTCCTCAATGCAGTGTATCCACTTTTTTTTGTCCTTGATCTGCTGCTCCAACTGGGGGCATTTTCACACTGGGACTTTTTTTTTTTTTTTTGACTGATCTCTGGATGCAATTGGAGTTGGATACACCCACCACAGGCCATAATTGCAGTCAGATGCATCTATAAAAGTCCGATTGTGAGTACGCTCTGATCGTTTTGTTTCCTGAACGACGTTGCAAAACATCTGTGGACCAACCAGTGTTAGAACCGGCGACTCATAAAAAAAAAAAGAAAAAAGAAAAAAAAGAACTGGCGACTCTCTTGCTCATATGCTGATGCATAGCAGGTGTGCCCGATGTGAAGGCGGAGAGGTCTCTGGACGTAATTGAAGTCAGATACGTCCACGACAGGCCATAATTGCGGTCAGATACATCCAGAAAAGCCGGTAGTGCAAGTAAGTTCTGAAATAGGTTTGTTCCGTGAGCGAAGTTGCAAAACATGTGGACCAACCGGTGTCAAATTTGGCAACTCAAAAAAGAAAAGAAAAGGGCAACTCTCTTGCCCATGTTGATGCATTGCAGGTGTGCCTGATGTAAAGGCGGAGGGGTTTGTGGACATAATCGCAGGCAGATACGTCCAGAACAGGCTGTAATTGCGGTTAGATACAATGTCATCCAGAAAAGTGTGAGTGCGAGTGTGCTCTGGTAGTTTTATGTTTTCGCGAAGGAAGTTGCAAACCGTGTAGAGTCTGTAGACCAACCAGTGTCAGAATCTGACACTTGTCGTGCTCCTGCTGATGTCCTGCAGATGTGCTGGATGTCAAGGCGGAGAGGTCTCTGGACGCAATTGCAGTCAGATACATCCAGCACACGCTGTAATTGCGGTTAGATACATTCAGAAATGTGCTAGTGCGAGTGTGCTTTCCAAACCATGTAGACCAACCAGAGTCAGAATCTGGCACCTGTCGTTCTCCTGCTGATGTCCTGCAGATGTGCTGGATGTCAAGGCGGAGAGGTCTCTGGACGCAATTGCAGTCAGATACATCCAGGACAGGCTGTAATTGCGGTTAGATACATTCGGAAAAGTGCTACTGCGAGTGTGCTTCGCAAACAACTGTCGTGGTCTTGCTGATGTCCTGCAGATGCGTCGGATGTCAAGGCGGAGAGGTCTCTGGACGCAATTGCAGTCAGATACATCCAGCACACGCTGTAATTGTGGTTAGATACATCCAGGGAAGTGCTAGTGCGAGTGTGCTTTGCAAACCATGTAGACGACCAACCAAAATGTCGGTACTGACAATGTCGTGCCCTTCCTGATGCCGTGCAGATGCGCCGGAGGTCAAGGCGGATGCGACCTTCTCATTTGCAGACGCCGACTTTGTCGCTGTGGCGACCGGAAAGATGAATCCTCAAATGGCATTCTTGAGGTGAGCTCTGCTCTCAATTCCTAGCAGCCAGGGGCCTGGCTCCACTATCCACGAAATGTGTGAAATAAGAACAAATCTTCCGCCAGAACACGGGAAGATACGCCGCCATATTTTTTGTCCTTTTGTGCATGTGGTGAGTAGCGGAGCGAGGCTCCACGCCATTCAAGTGCGCGGACATGGTCCCATGTGTCATTTCCTGTGTGTGCAATGTGCATGGCTGTCTAATGTGGTTGTTGTTTTTCACTGCCTCCTGTTTGTTGCCCTTCCTGCCTGCTTGTCCTGGATGCATCTGACTGTAATTACGTCCAGGAGAGCTGTTATTTGTTGGGTTGGTTATGGTATTATTATGTTTGTCACACGTCCTCCACACTTAGTCCCATTTTGAAGTACAGAGAAAGAAAAGAAAAGAAACGAAAAGATTGGGTGTTTGAATAGTACAAAATGGTAGTAGCCGGGCCCAAGTCCCACTAGCAGCAATGCGTTTCCTCAACTCCCGAATCGGGATGTGTTTGCGGAGATGTACAGAAAAACCGCGTCGAGTTTCCTCAACCGCACATCTCCACGAACACGTCCAGATTCGGGTGTTGAGGAAACTAATGCTTCTAGTGGGACTTGGCCCCTGGTACCTGTTGTTGTACTGAATGGTGCTAGTACTGTCGTCCCCTGAACAGAACTTGGAGTCATTATAGCTGTATTTGGGGCAGCAGCTTGCACTAGTGAAGAGAGAATGACCGCATGCTCTATTCGGGCGAAGACGGATAGTACCCTACCCATCGTCGCTAAGATGTGGTACAAAACAAATGCAGGTGCTGCTTGTAGCAAGCAGTTTCAGAGCTTGAGCGCCCACCTTGTGTCCTGGCCTTGGTTGAGAGAGAGAGAGAGAGAGAGAGAGAGAGAGAGAGAGAGAGAGAGAGAGAGAGAGAGAGAGAGAGAGAGAGAGAGAGAGAGAGAGAGA